TATTTTCACAATACTATGCAAGTACTCTGTCTTCTTTTGCAAAATCTGGATGAACTAGATCACGCAAGTAGTTGTTATGATTTCTGAATTATTGAAAAAAATTGGTAAATTTTTCAGAAATTACAGCGGCTCCGCGAAGTAAAATGTGAAAAAAATCTGACTAAGGAACATTGATATCACCGTTAGCAAAGAAGTACAATAATGATCTTTATAGTGGCTGTAAAAATTTGTAACTTTTTTTTGCAAAGTGTTGTTGTAATAAGGAAAATATTTCTTTCTTTTCTTTTGCTCTACAGAGTTGCTCGATTACTGAGATACGGTAGGTATACGGTACGCTCAATCACTAATATGTCTAGAATATCCAATTCGAGAGAAATATTTTTTCCTCACCATAGACGCTAGCCTCAAGCGCTACATCATCGAATTCCGGGGGATGAAGATTCTCATCCACATCTTCCAATTCAACCACATACGAACAAGTTGTACTAAGAACTACTTCTCCATTATCAGCTACCTAAAATTGCCTCATTCAAGAGCTTTTCCCTCATAGGTCTCCCAAAAATCCTCACATCTATGCTCAGATTATACACCGATCTTCGTTGAAAATCTAGTGGTTGATGCGGTGAGTGGATAAAAACGCATCCAGTTCGATGATCAATCTTAAATGGTGGCGCTAGTCCATTCTCTTCTGGCTCTAGGGAAAACCGAAGACGAGCATTTGGTCCAATGTCGGGATCGGTCGCTGCGACACATCCGACAAGTGCTCCATCTGGGTAATCTTCGGGAATTCGGACCTCAAAAATCACTTTTAAAAACATGCCCAGATAATTAAGATTACTGTAGCTTACTGTAGTAATCGGCTCAATACAAAAAGGTGCATTGTCATTGACATCGTCGACTTCAATGGTTAGATTTACGGCCGAGATTTGTGACGGCGCACCGTGATCAAATGCGATTACGGCATGTCTGGCAAACGAGTACAAGTATACAACCCGGTTCTGGTAAGGCAGACAACATCAAAAAAGACCTACCGTAACACACTGTTAGCTTCTCTGTCGAGGGCTTTGATGAGTGTCAGTTGTCCGG